TCATCGCAGAAGTGGCTTGGGTTCCGCAAATACGAGGCCGCAGAAGCGGACCTCTTGTCCGTAGAAGCGAAAGAAGCCACAGAAGCAGGGAGGATCTCGTATCTGCGAGATTGCAGATGCGGTTAAGTACTCCGTAGAAGCGAAAACGCTGGGCGGGCTACAAAAACAGAAGGATCTGACATTTTTATCATTTTAGACATTCCAAACACAGTTTTGGGGCGATTTTCAAAGAGAATTCACGGAAAAACTTGAGGTAAGTCACTTGTGATCATTGTTAGTCGATAATATTAAATTATCATTGAGTATTCCGACTAGATTACGTATTTTTGAGGTGTAATTAGAGGATTTGTTGTCGGAATTTGGTAAATTTGGTATGGTTGGACTCGTGATTGAATGGGCGTTCATATTTTATAACTTTTGTCAGGTTCCGAGATGTGAGCGCCACGAATGATTTTTGAGTGCAATGTTGAGGGTATGAAACTCCGAATTTCGTGTTATGTGTTTGCTTTGGAGGTGACGCACATAATAGGTGACGGACGTGTGGGCGTGCATCGTGTGAATTGTAACTCCGTTATTTCCGTGGTGTTGTGTAGTTACCTGAACTTATCTGTAATCATGAAATATCTACGTACTAGAGTTACTGATCTGTAATCCATATTAGAAACCATGTCTAGGCTACATGCTTATTCTGTTGGGACACACTGAGGTCATTACTGTTGTTGAGTTATTTGCTTACATTGCAATTTCATACTCAGTCATGTTCATTCATTTCATATCATATCTCAGTCTTTGTGCTATATATTGACACACCATATCATCATGTTTGGGCTAGTTTCATGGCATTCTGGGCCCAAGAGACTAGAGAGATTGATGACTGAGTGAGGCCGAGGGCCTGATTGTGTGGTTATTGATACTACAGCACGTGAGTTGTCCGTGCAGCACGTGAGTTGTCTGTGCAGCACGTGAGTTGTCCGTGCCTATCTAGATATTGATACTATAGTACGTAAGTTATCCGTACAGCACGTGAGTTATCCGTACAGATCTAGATATTGATATTATAGCACGTGAGTTGTCCGTATAGCACGTGAGTTGTCCGTGCGGATTATAGCACTTGGGTTGAAGGAGCCCCTCCGGAGTCTGCACACACCCCCAGTGAATACAAGTACCTATTGAGTGCGAGTGCCGAGTGATTGAGAGGACTGAGTGGATTGATACTCTGAGCGTATGCATATGGTTGTTCACTATATTGTACTACATTGGCATGCACATTTGACATACAAGCATAGAGACGCATTGTTTTTCTCATGAGGTACGGTATCACGTCATTCATGACTTCTCATACACATTGATATGTAACCATAGAGATGTACTTTTCCTCATGCCATTTGATAATGAAACATTTACCTGTTAAAAAGTTTCGGAAGGAAAATCATGGTTTTATAAACTTACTCATATTTTGGTATTTTCGGTAAAAGATTTGAGTTTTCACTTTTATACTTGAAAAGTATATCTATTTTCTGGAACTGTGAATGCGCTGAACATTTTATTTCTGAGCTATTTCCTGTACAACTTTTGTTATATTGTTATGAGTTATTGTTGGACTTTGATCATGTTCTAGCTCGTCACTACTTTCAAACTAAGGTTAGATTTGTTATTTATTGAGTACATGGGGTCGGTTGTACTTATACTACACTTCTGCACTTTGCGTGCAGATATTGAATGTTGATGTTATTGTGATCGACGGGATTTGGATTTGAAGACGTACTTGCGTTCCGGTTGTAGCTGCCTCTTGTCCATGGTAGCCTTAGATTTATAAAAATATGTTTATGTACGTTTCGAACAGATGATGTATTTATTTCATATCAGCTTTGTAAATTCTAATCTTAGAAGCTCATGATTTGTACTACCAGTCCTTGGGGAGTGTATTAGAGTCAGTTAATTAGTAATTGAATCGGATTGTTGTTATTTGGCTTACCTAGCGGGTGAGATTAAGTGTCATTACGGCTAGTTGGATTTTGGGTCGTGACATATTTATATGTAAAAATTATATAAAATATGAACAAATAGTAGATATGAACCCATAGTTTTAAATCTTTAACAATACTAATTTCTGGACACGTATAGAAATATTTTGATTATTTTAGATAAAAATGCTAAAATTATCATGTCATTTTTCAATCTTGCATGTTCGTTCTGTAGCCTTAAAACCTTGGCTTTTTCTTCAAACCTTTCACGCTTTATTTATGCTTCAGCCAATTTATTGGATTTCATTGACAAAATTTTTTCTATGGTCCACATGGTTGGATAGTTAATTCATAGATGGAGTATAAAGTAGTAACACTAATTAAATGATAAGTAAGAAGCAAGAAGCAAAAAAGAAAAGAAAAAAAAAACTTAAAAGATCATGCGCGGGACAAGAGTTGTGTGCTCTCTAAACAACAATAACTCAAACACAACAATTTAACTTGAATATATTTTTAATAGGAAAAGTGAGAGAGGACAAACGGAAAAACTACACTACAAGAGTCTATATCGCAAAAATATTCAAATTGGACAAAACTTTAACAAAAATTTTTTTTTCTTTTCTTGTTGCTTCATCTCATGATAAATTTTTTAAACCCCTCAGGGAAAGCAAGCTGACACCTTTTGTTATTCCATGTGGCCGTTGCTTGGTGACTTGAAAAGTGAAGGAAGAGTTATTAAATAATATGGTATGATGCTAATCAAATATTATTCTACAAGATAGTAGTAGTATTGATGATACCATGAAATTACAAAATAGTATTGGATTGTTAATGCATTGGTTCCTTGGCCTCATTCAATCTTGGCATCTAATCTATTTCTCTTCACCCGCACTACACAATATTTGAATTTGGTCACAACCGAAAGAAAGATGGTGAATGCATATGGTGTGTCTATTTATATAGTGATTTTTAAAATTTAATGATGAAGAACCCTTTTAAATTCCATAATTAAGTGATGAATATATAAAATTAATAGAAAAAATATACAAGTGTTAAAACCGAAACATTATGTAAAAAAGGATTTAAAGGAGGAGAGGAAATTGAATATTGGAAGAAGGAAAGAATAGAAAGGTAGTGTGAAAATATCAGGAAAAAATTTGTGTTAATTAATCCTCCATAACGTCAATAACGGCTGGAACATACGGCAACATCCATTATTCGGATTATTTCTTTCATTAATATTGTGAACTTTTTTACCAAGGCATTAAGTACAAATATCATTTAATGAGAGGTGATTTTAATTTTAGGTAGAGGCTAATTTAGTTATTCAGTATTTGAAGGATATTTTAGTAAAATAATTTTACCTAAAATTCTTCATTATTATAATATAGTATGATGATAATGGGTTCAATATTAAAATTTTTAGAAATTACAAAAATAACAATGTCCCAGTGAAATCTCACTAGTGAGGTCTGGAAGAATATATTGCCGTTGCCGGGGATCAAACCCGGGTCACCCGCGTGACGGGCGGGAATACTTACCACTATACTATAACGATTTGAACCCATAAAATTCAAATTCTTGATCCACATCTGCATATGCAACTATATATACAAGCTACATATAAATGAAATTAAAAGTATCAGTCGGCCTTAACATATATAATATGATAATTCTTAAAAAGAGCACCTCATTAACTCATTAAGGATAAATAAGAGTAATGTTAAGTAACAAAGAGTTTCAAGGAAGTCAAATAGTTAATAAGGGGCAAAGAAAAATCTTACTGTCTTTTAATTCTTTCTAAATCTGACATTCATTATTTTGAGATTATGATGCCACTACTTCAGATCACTACATCTCAGGGATATCATAGATTATGGCACGGCAGTAACTGACTTCATGAATTAGCATGCACTTTCAGTTTGTGTGGCTTCCCCTTAATTAGTGTGCACTGTGCTAGATAAATATTTCATCGGAGTGCGTAAAATCATAGAGTTGTATTCTTCTATCCGACGTTCTTCTCACACGGTCGCAAAGCTAAGATTTTGAATTTATGAGTTCTGAAATCTAAGTCATAATAATTTTTTGGGCTATAGATAGATTATTAATATATACTCTCTCCGTTTTATGTACAATAAGTGATCATTTTATCTTTTTATTTTGGTTCAAAATAAGTGTCTATTTATATAATCAAGAAGGAATTAATTTTATTTTTCCAAAATTTGCTCTTATTTACATATTACAGTGTGTTAAGGTAACAATTAATTAAGATTAATTTAGTGAATACATCTTTTTTTTTCTAAGAGTTCGTATTTCCTTAACGGGTGTGTCAAAGGTAAAATGTTCACTTATTGTGGACCGGATGGAGTAATAATTAAGTAAATGTTCTAACAAAAATACAAGATAGCTACACTTATAGCTCCGCCATTGTTCTCACGTATCTAAAGCAGCCAGTGGTGGAGCCACATTCAACGAAGGTTTTTTCCTTATTTGATCGGATTAAAAAGAAACTTTGGGATTGCTGAATCACAGACAAAAAAAATAAACATATAAAGCAACGGAGCCATCATAGTATTTTTTAACTCCTCCGAAAGGAAGGATGGCAATTTGATCATTTACCCATCTGAGTCTGATAGATTCTATTTTTCTCTTTCTTCAATAAAAAGGAGGGGAGGTCGCCGTAAAATCGCACTGTATTGCTAGATAATTTTTTTTATTTTATGTATATTTACTATATATTGACCCCTTTGACTTTTGATATATTTAAATTTTTATATTTTGACACCCCTTGATAAAATTTCCGGCCCTACCACTCAAGAAGAGAAGCCATGCACAGCCTTACGTAAGTAATGAAATGATTTGCTCTTTTGTCATTGGACTATAATTACACAATCCCCCGCCTCTTGCTACCCCACACTAACATCATTTTTTTTTTTTTCAATCTCTCCAACTCTCCCATGGAGAGTGGAAGTATTTTATTAATAATTGTAGTAAATACATAACAGAAGAGTCATATACGTCAAGTAGGATTTCAAGTAAACTCTCAAAAAAATCAAAAACTCAGAGATTTACATAGAATCTGTTCTATACAATATGCACACCCATTAAGGGACATCAAAATTATAGATCCTATACAAGTTTTTATCTATCCAAAAGGAGCTTTTATGAGTCTTCCTCCTGAATGAAAGGTACTGAATTCTATCCATGTGTAAATCTCCTCTAGCCTCCCTAGGCATATTTCGAGACTCAGAAAAGAAAGTAACTTCAGAGCATTCAAGACCATAGCTAGCCAAAATAGCTGCCACTTTGTTTCCTTCTCTATTGCAGTGTGTGATAGACTAACTCTCCATATGTGAAACAAACCATTGTATGTCTTTGATAATATCCAAAATATTCCAAGGAGGAGCATTGATCTTGAAAATCCAATCAGTAAGTAGCTTAGAATCACACTCAATTTCTAGATTTTTTATGCCAGTCATATTACACCATTGAATTACAAATTTGAGGGCCATAACTTCAGCTTATTATTGGTCATGTTGCCAAAAGGAATAGCATAAGCTTTCACTAGATGTCCTCTATCATTTCTGATAATACCACCTCCTGCACTAAGACCCGGATTACCTTTGGAGCACCCATCAGAGTTGAGTTTCATGAATCCAGTTTGAGGAAAGTTTCATTTGACAGCCATAGAAGTAACGTGATCTCTGGCCATTTCTATCATCTCTTGAAACGTCTTCCAATTTAAAATAGGTGAAATCTTTGGAAATTGTTTGTGAGATATAATGTTAAGTTGATCACAAATTTGGGGAATAATTATGTGAGATTGCATACTTACATTGTCAAACCTGCTCTTGCATCTAGCCTTCCAAATATTCCAAATAATAATACCATGGAGGACTTGTAGAGCCATCTTCTAAACATCATTTTTTTTCTTTGGTCAACCACCACGTAATAATCAATTGTCTCAAACAGTGATATTGTTGACGAATCCCAAAGGCTTGGTTAAAATATTTTCATACCCTCTGGCTAACCATACTATTAAGAAACAAATGTTCCTTATCTTCTTGGTGATGAACAGTGCAACAAGAACATTTAGAGGGTAGATGAATACCAAATCTTCCCATAATTTGATCAACGGCTACTCTATGTTTCAACAGCCTCCAGAGAAAGAAAGAGATTTTAAAAAGATTCTTCTTATGCCATATCATTTTATAGACTAAAGTAGAACCATGATGCTACCTAATACAATTCCAAGTAGATTTACAAGTGTATTTTTCATCTGTGTTAGTAGACCAAATAGGTTGATCTTGTAGATGAGGAGATTCAATTATAATTTCATGAATATGGGAAACAATATCATTAGGAAGAACCTGATTAAGCTTAAATGTATCCCAGCAACCATTGATGATATAGTCAGACACATGACCTTTGACAGAAGTATAGGCATTTCCATATTGTGTTAATCTTCCTTTACCAGACCAATTGCCCTACCAGAAACTTGCATTTCCTTTATTGATTTTTCACATAATTAAGTGATCAATTTTATCTCTGCTTTTCATACGCCTCCTCCAACAGTACGACTGAGTATAGCTCCACTTTTTAGCTACAGGATGGATTCTGCTGGCATATTTAGCATTCAGAAAATCAGCCCAAAGACTATTCTTAGTTCTATACTGCCACCACACCTTAGCTCCTAAGATGTCTGAGATGTCTTGAATAGATCTAATTTCAATTTCTCCCTCCTGTGTTGGGTGACATAATTTATTCCATGCCACCTAATGATTCTTGTTTTCCCATCTTGATTGCCCATAGAAAATTTGCAAAAATTTCTCCATCGGTTTAATAATAGTCTTGGGAGGTTGGCAGATAGATAGCAGGTGGATAGGCATAGCAACAAGAACATGCTTTATCAAAGTTACTTTTCCCCCTGTGGATAACATGTTGCAATACCAGGCTCTAACTCATTTAAGAATTTTTGTGGAACTTTGAGTGTAGTATTGTATTTCCTTTCTTCATTGATAAAGAGGACATCCCAGATAATTAATTGGAAATTCATTCCTTTATACCTGCAACTATTGAGAGACAATGTTATTCCTCTTGGCAGATATTTTAGAGTTCATAAGAAAGCAACTTTTTTCTTTGTTTATAAGTTGTCCGAAATTCTTTTCATATTTCTTCATACAATCCATAACAAGTTTCAAAGTATTTGATTTTCTTGCACAAAAAAATTATAAGATCGCCAGCATATGATAAATAATTAATCCTTGGGCCATTAGGTTTCATGTTGAACCCAATAAACCCAGGCTTATCAAATAAACTGTTTAACGTGCTAGAAAGAGCTTCAGAGACAATTATAAAGAGGGAAGGGGAAATGGGATCTCCCTATTTGACCCCTCTTTGTAATTTAAAGAAACCTTGACTTTTACCATTGATCATCACAGAGTACCACATATTGGCCAACAGATTACGTATAGTATGAATCCAGATCTCTGTAAAATCCATTTTTCTCAAAATATCACAGATAAATTGCCAAGATATCCTATCATAAGCCTTGTTTATGTCAACTTTGAAAACAATATTACCTTATTTATTATTATTCTTTATGCCGTGAATAAGTTCTTGAGCCAGTAAAATATTTTCACCAATAACCTTTTCTTATACAAAACCACTTTGATTTTGGAAAATAAGATTAGGAATGATTTTAGAAAGTCTATTATTCATAACTTTAGACACAATCTTCTGAGTTACATTACTCAGACTAATTGGTCTAAATTCAGAGAATTCTTGAGAAAACTTAACTTTAGGAATAAGCACAAGAAGAGTATTTGTAAAGAATTTAGGCATTTGTTTTCCATTAAAAACAGCCATCACCATATTAAGAATATCTTCACCAACAATCTCCCAACCTTTTTGAAAAAATAGACTGCTAAAACTATCTGGGCCATGAGAGCTATTGGGGTTAATATCAAAAGCATCCTCCATGACCTCATTAAGAGTAGGAATGGCCATCAACATCTCATTATATTCTTGAGATACAGAAGTGGGGATGTGGTTTGGGATGGTTCTATCAATACCAAGGTTCCATTGAGTAAACAGGTTCTGATAAAATTCAGTTGCAGCTATCCCAATATCTTTCTCACCTTGGATCCAAACTCCATCATTTTGAATTCTATTAATGTTAAGCATGCTTCTTCTTCCCCTTACTAATGAATTGAAAAACTTAGTGTTCTCATCTCCTTCCAGTTGCCACTTGATATTGGCATTTTGCCTCCAATAAGCAACTACTTATTTATGGTGAACGGTGAATTCTGCTTTAGCCTTGTGAAGTTTCATTATGTCCTACTGATTTAGAGAATTCATGTACTGTTTCTCATACTGTGCTATCTGATCCCCAAGTTGTTGTTCTTTCTCAAAAATATTACCAATATTGCTTCTAGACCAATCACAAAGAGCTTGCTAGTATTTTTTATTTTTTATTGAATTGTCCAAAAGATATTACCAGTGGTATAAGAGATCCAATTCCTTTTCACTACTTCTAAGAAGTCGTCATGATCAACCCAGAAATTGAGAAACTTAAAGTATTTTATGCATTCCTCCTAGGTATTTTCAAAAGAAATCAAAATAGGACAGTGATTTGAGCTAACTCTAGGAAGATGTAGGACCTCAGTTAAAGAAAATTGCTCGCTCCAATTGTCATTGATAACCATTCTATCCAATCTTTTATAAATAATCTCCTCTTTCTTACTCTCATTGCACCATGTGAATATGCTCCCAGAGTATCCAATATCCATCAGGCCACAATCATGAATACACTCCATAAAAGAGATACTCTTATTAAGTTTATGCGGTTTGCCCCCTATTTTCTCTTCTATTGCTAAAATGCTATTAAAATCACCACATACTGCCCATGGAGTTGTAATAGTAGAGGCAATACTCCTCAATACCCCCAAAGATATTCTCTACCAATAGACTTTGACTTAGCATACACTACTGATACAAAGTATTCTTTATTATCGAAAATGTTGATGATTCTATAAGTAACAATCTGATCTTCACTTTGCATAGATAGTACAATTCATATCAAAATCCCAGAAAACTCAAATTTTATTACTACAATTAGCATAACACCTTTGCATACCCAGAATTAGTTTGTAAGAATCAATTTTGGTCTCCTTCACAAAAGGTTCCTGAATGACCACAAGGGAGACTCTGTGTTGTTTAATCAAAATTTTAAGCCTTTCAGTAGAGGCTTGTGATTTCATACCCCTTATATTCCAATTGAGGATTCTAATCATCAGAGGGATTAACAGAAGTTTTTTGGGAGTTCAATTTCTGTCTTCTAGTAATAGGGGACTCTCTGATATTCTGCCCAGTTTGTATGGTTTCTTGTACTGAGGATCTTCCATCCCTTTCATATCATTTTAGTTAGTGTCAATCTTCTATTTCTGAGAAGGATATCCTACCATATCCTGGCTCAAAATTTCATCTTGCTCATGTGAGGATTCTTCTGAGGTTTTATCCTCTGAGGAGCTAGCATCAGCCCATTCATCATTAGCTTCTTGCCATTCATGCTCAATTGAGTCAACTTGTAGCTCACTTGTTTCATTATTCTTCGTGGTGCCCCTTGTAGCCAACTTTGATTCAACCCTTTTCCAAATTTCTCAATATATTCAGTACTCAGGTTGTTGTCATTTTGAGTGTCATCATTCTGATTAGGCTTTGGAGTATCTTGATTGACCTCTTTAGATACATCCCTAGCCTTTTATTCCTTTGCATTTTCGTTCTTCTCCTCATTTCCTTCATTGGTGTCATGGCCTTAATAACATCAGTAGTACTAATCTTTGTGATAGGCTCTGAAGTAAGTAAAGGTTTGTCAACCCCAAAGATCACTCCGATAGGTCTGAAGTACTTAGGAGGTTCACTCTTTCCCCTTTTGGTAATGGCCTTATCCTTAACAGACATATGTTTTTCCCTTCCTCTTTGTTGAGAAGCCTGAAATGATTCTTGTGCATTCTTTCTTTCAGGCTTCGTTGAAGTATTGTAGTTCTTATTGTTCTCCTTCTGTTTTTAATCCTTCTCTTTTTCCTCCTCATCCTTCTTTCTTTCTAGGACTCGGCAGTTTGCTAAATTATGTCCTAATTTCCTACAATTCTTACATAATTTAGGAACATTCTCATACTCTATTTTCTGAGTAAATCCTTTTAATGGGGAGTCTTCATCCTCATCCCCTACCCAAACACTAGTAATCGCCGGCTTTAATAAATCAATTTCAATTCTGACTTTCGCCATACTAGGTATATTGAGAGTTCTAGTCGCAATATCCAATTCTAGAGGGATTCCGGCATCAGCAGGAATTTATTTAATATAAAACCAATTATGCATATGGAAAGGCAAACCTGGAAGTAAGGCACATACTGGAGCAATAGGCAGATCTTCCTCAAGCTTGAAATCGGGTGTCCACCCATGTAACCACATTTGAAGCCCTTCAATTTCAATCATTCTTTTTGTAGAGAATTACATTATGATCTTCATCGTTTGTGAAGCTTAGAAACACATTAAAATTGTCATATACGCCTATCTTCACGCTTCCTTTGAGAGAGAATTTTTCTGAAAATCTAGATCTTATGATGTCGATTTGAGGTCTATTTTTCAAAAATCGGCCCACCATAGTTCATTTACATTGAGACGCCATAACACCGTAATAATCTCTAGTCTTAAAGATGACTGCATGCATTCCTCCCTTCTAGCTTTGACGTGTTGGGGTTCTTGGCGAAATTGGGTCGCAGAGGAACTTGGGCAATTAGTCAAAGTTGTGGGCATAGGAGGATTTGTTCACCTCCGATTCTTTTCAAGAAGGACTCACCTTACTTGATGGGTCCATGAAATTGATTACAGTTGCCGGCAGATCGCCGTCTGGCGAGCCCATGGAAGGGCGATGGAAATCCGAACGTTGAGATGGTAACGGCAGTATTGTATGGAGAGAAAATGTTATAGAGAGAGAGAAAAAAATTGTAGTTGATGGTCCCTAAGGGTTCGTTTGGTAGGATTTTCTTTTCGGCTACATCAGTTTTGTTGAATTTTGTATAACAATTTTTTTCTCTTTCTTTAATTTTTGTGTGGGCCAAACAGAAAAATGAAAAATGTATAGCCATTTTTGCTATCACAAAATACATGGAGGAAAAAATTAAATAAACAAATATTTCCTCATTGAAATGACAAATAGTTGCTTGATTTAGTTTCTTGTTTCCCATCTTCTTGATCTTCCTGATCTCCAAATGATAGAATGAGGATCTGGACAAACATGGTATGGAATTTTTGGTGGATTAACTTCTGGGACACTGCATACATGACAAACAATTTAATAGTCAGGGGTTTTTTGGTCATTTTCTTTATATTTATACCATATGCTGTTACATATTAGCAATTTAGTCCTCTTACACACAAAAAATGACTTTTGTATAGGTGACATGAATTGTACATTACAAATGACAAAGTAACACTCCATGTTCTTTTAGATAGTAGAGTTAATAAATATTATCCATATATGCTGTCAATTTGACAGGTAATAAACTCATTTAAATCTTGATACCTTTTGCCTGAAATGAAAATCTTATCCTTCACCACTTCTCTGAGCAGGTATTATATTATTTTCCTTATTTATTCATGTTAACATCACAATTCACAACTGGCAAAGTATAGTCCATTTAGTAAAATGCCCATTTCATTTAATACTATTTTGGCTAATTAGAAGCTTAAACCATAATTATAAACAAGATAAAGTATCCTTGGCTTATTCTGCATTATCCCTTGCTTCTAGAACCTAAAGGAATTAAAATAGAGAATTGTCTGGACTACATATTATAGTATATGGAGTAGGTAAGAGAGTCGGGTCCAGCAATTAAAAAATAAAAATGCTAAATTCAAATACTTACCTCAGTGCATCAATTTCAATCTGTGAGAAGTCCATGTTGGTTGAACTATCTTGAAAAGAAATGGTTCTTGTCCTTGTGGCCATCGGCGTTGTTGGTTGTTTGATGGCTACTACTTTGCAATTCAAATTTCTTGCAATGTGGTTGTGGGTCATGGCCAGCCTATTCAAGAAAGAAAAGGAACACTGGTTTAATTAGTTCCACTCTACTTGGTACTACTAAAAGTTTGTAGACGAAGCCAGAGGCAAAATTAGGAAGCGTTTTACGAATTCAACTAGACTCATTGCTTTTAGCTTGAACTATATATATATATGCATACAACAAATATGCATACAACAGAAATTCGCGTGCATCTCAACTATTCTATCGATCTTTCAATTTAGTGTCTTCCACCGGCACAAGTATCAGCTATAACGTGCTATGGTACTTTGTCCTTACTGATTTAAAATTGGTTGCTAATCCTTGCTAGGAACCTAAGCTCGGGTAGATTGAAACATATAATCACAAGGTCATCAAATAATCTCAAGTTTAATAGGATAAGATGATATATTCAGTATTAAGTCTGGAATAAAATTTATACCATATTTGGTTGTCAGATAAATTTATACAATCAACCAAACATAATATAAATTTAATCCCTTACCTTATCTTATATTATCCCGCTTACAAACGAACCCTAATAGTAGACCTTGGGAAAAAGAGAGGTTCGAAGGGGACAATTTTAGCCCCCGAGGCTAATTTACAACAAAAAGTGGCAGTTGACCAACTATAGTCTCGTGGACCTTTGGTTTTAGGAACTTCTTATCCTGTCATATTTTTTTAGTCCGTTTAAAAAAGAATTACACATTTTTAAGAAATAATTTAACTTTAAATTATTCATTTTATGCGTTTTACCCTTAATGAGGGCTTTAATAAACACACAAATGTAATTGCCCCACAAAGCTTTTAACCTTTAAGCTTTTAATACCACAAGTTTCAAAAGACTTCTTTTTTTCTTAAACTCCGTGTCGAGTCAAATTAGTTCATCTAAACTGAAACGGAAGGAGTAGTATTGATCGATTCTATTACCGAATCTTTAGTTTAATCATTTGATCAACTATTAACAGAAGATTGCAAAACGTAAAAGCAGATGAACAATGATGCTAAAAGTTATCTCAATCAAAAGAAAAGATAAATCTTTCTGAGGAAAATGAACAATAAAACAGGAGATTACAAACTTAAAACAAGAAATTTAAGAGGACGTGAATTCTACCTGTAAAGAAAGCTCTGATCATGAAGTCCAGCAACAAGAGTAGAAACACCAATTTCTCTAACCATTTCAGCAATCTTTTCACCATCTTGATCCCCCTGTGCAACCACAATCTCTGTCTTGGTCTGTAACATAACCCTTCTATCATATATTGGATCAGTAACATAGACAAGAGAAAAAGAAAAAAAATGTTACTATATTCAACCCTAAAATAAAGAGAGACATACATTGAGAAATATTTTGCACGTCATAGAAGGAGAGAGCCAATTGAAAACCTTTGAGACGTAAAAGCTTAACCTTTTTCTTGCTCCTTGATTTTGTGATAGGGAAAACATGTAAAAGGATGAGTATATCCCCATATCGCAAGAGATTGTGTAGAGTCCATTGGAGTGCAGTTTTTGCTATTTCCACATCTTCTACAACTACCACAATTTTCTTTACATCCATATTCAACCCCTCTAAGCCTCTTTGAATTCTTCTCTTACTTGTGTTTTCTTGGATAGAAGTTGAGCTTGTTTTCAGCTACAGAATTCTAGTCTTCTCTCCAAATGATCAGAGGAATATTTGTTTATTATATTTGTGGAATATGGATATTTACCTTCAATTGGAGGGAGAAAATAAGGAAATGGATAGTTTGGACTTGAGAGCAATATAGCCAGATTATAGGATGGGGAACAGTAAAAGCCGGGAGGGCCAAGAAATTTTCTTTGCTTTTCGTTTTAACTTTTCAGCAAAAAAACACAAAGAGACTCATTGATTTAGTCAACTTCCATTTGCCTGAATTACAAATATGGTTAAAATAATTATGAAAATTATTTTCTCCCTTTAACTTTGCGAGAAAAAAAAAATCAAATTTCTATACAACTTTTGGACAGTACATTTTGTCATTTTCATATGTGAAATGTGATTACATAGCAAAAACGTAAGTTGCTAATATTTAAATCGTCCTTTGGTGACAACAGATAAAAGAAAAGCTAATACTTAAATCAATTTTGTGACGCGTGATATAAAAGGAGGCATCTTTGTTTAAAAATGCATTTGCGTTATCAACTACTCCTACACTGTTGTTTAAAGGAATCCTAATTGATTTGGTAAAATTAGATACTCAAACAGTTCCAATAGTTTTAATTTGGGAAAATGTACGTGCTCTGACTTTGGTTCTTAAAAATGAAAAATTAGCTCAGAAGAATAACAAGATTAAAAAAAAAATGCACTAGACGCAAAGACCGCAATTGTTTACCTTAGTTTTTACAACACAAACTCTTCCGCCTCCGTTCAATGATGGTATTTTAAGCATGTACTTTATTCACTTTTAGTTTTCCACTTTTACTTTGCACTCTCATTAAGAGAAAATAAATGAAGCATGTATTTTACAATTTACCAATAATAATCCTAGCATTTCCTAAAGTCTTAAGAAACATGTGAGAAATGAGTAGTTAGTGATAAGAGTATAACAGGAAAAAAAATTGTCTTTCTAGTATAGTGGACAAGTAAAAGTGAAATGTATTTTTAGTATAGTAAACAAGTAAAAGTGAACGGAGAGAGTAGGTATGATGTGTTCAACATCCCATAATGCATGATTTAAGTACACACAGCCAATACAGTTTTATCACCAATTTATTTACTCACAAAGAAAGTCCAATCAACCAATTACACATTAATCTCTTTCTTTTTATTATTCTTTCTTTGTCCCACGTCTGCCCATGACAAATGATGTAGTTAGCAATCACTTTGAGGAGTTAGTGAGACAGATCAAACATCTACAATATATTCCTTTCTTCTAGATTCTTATCCCTAAAAAGAGGAGTATTCTCTTTGCTCTCTGGAAGGGGAAGCTAATAGAAGTTGCCACAATCCAGAAGAAATACAACCGATTTTCAAAATGAAAATCCTTGCTATCTGGGGTTAAAGTTCTCTGAGTTGACAAGATAGAGTCAAGAAAATGCCTAAGGGGAAAGGAAACAAATTTAGTTGTCGGAAAAGGATTCCGATATACGAGTAACTTAAAGGGAAGTATGGATAAATTAAGAACGGCATTAACATACTATACTAGTACTACTACACTTTCCGTTGACATGTCGTTTCTAAATAGGAACCTCTGGCAGCTTTTTGCAACACATAAGATCACTTGATAGTTTTTTTGAAGTATGTAACAAAGACGATACTCTCATCTACTTATTACTACAAACGAAACACCATATAATAGGCACCTAGATTCCTATGGTCAATAACCCAATCTACTGACTCGGGTAACACCAGCACTCCCTCATAAAAAACAATTCAACCTGTGATAAAATTGCAAAGAAAGTACCAGTACCTTTAACCCTCCATTGCGCCAAGCTCATTACCAAACATACCTCCTCGATTGTTTGTGACATACACAAGCTATTACTATCAGTTTCTGGAAATGTACCAATCGTATCCAGCAGGGTAGTTGCTGTCATCCAGAATCCTACTGCTGGTTGCCTCTAGCTTACCACAGAATCAATTTTTAACACTGCCAAAAACAAGACTCTAAATTTTTTCATGTCAATGCTTTGTTATTCACAAAATTCATGACAGATTTTATTCAAAGCAGCTAACTGTTGCTACTAGTTTCTCCTAGTAAAGCAAAGGTGTTTATGCATCAGGTAACCAGTTGTGACTGATTACATACTCCTACAATCACCGGATACGATAGCTTATCTTTGAACCTCAGTGTTCAGCAGCAAACTCTACCCTTCTGTCCTTGTTTATTATACTAACAATACTGTCACGCTAAACCTGACTAAAAGTTTACTATAACTAGATATTGCCAGGTGATGTCAACTATCTACCTCCTGAACATCATTCACAGGCACACATAGAAGCTCATTTTAAGTGACACGACCCCAAACAGTCCGTCCTTGGCCGCGGCCACCACGTGCATTGTCATAGCCTCTTCCACGATATGAGCCTCGAGATGCTCCTGGCATGCGAGCTCCCCGGCCACGACCCCGTTGGTTTTTCTGAGTCTCACCAAATGTCTGGAAAACACATCAAGAAGTCTCTTCAGGAATCAAAATTAAAGAGAATTTCTAAAGGAACGCCCCCCCC